GATATCAATTATATATTGTTCACAGTATTTTGCCTTTTCCCAGTTCAAGAGGGTACCAGGTCTGTACTGGTTGCTTCAGGGGAAGTATATAGAATTCAATAAGCTGAAATGGCCTGTAAGCCTTTTTTAACCATTTGTTTTCCAAAAGACTGATCCTAAGACCTCCCTTTGAAAGTAAGGGAAATCACCATTGGCAAAACACCACCATGAAATCAAAGGCAAGAGGAAATGGAATCTGAAGACCTAAGTTTCTGGGTGTTTTGTTTTGTTTGTCCATTTTGGTAAGCAAGGTGCTAAACTCTTAACTGCCTAGAGACAAGAGACAAGATTTTGGCTTCATCCTAAGTGGAAGAACTGCCTGATAAAATAAAGGAGTCCGGTTAAATTTGAATGTCAGATAAACAACAAATAAGTTTTTAGTGTAAGTATGCCAGATATTATGCCCCCTAACTCTCTCCACTCTCCCTCCCTCTCTCCCCACCAAAAAGAACAAAAATGTACACTCCAAATATCTTGAGACCACACAGTAGTCTAACAAATAGAGACCCATGGAAGTTTAAAAAGTATCTAGAAATTATGCTTAAAATGATTAAATGATAAAAAATCAAAAACATGACCGTGGAATAAGACACTGTCTGGTCAGATTTGAAGGAGAATCAAGTAACATTTCTATATTCTTTATTAAACAAAAATATTAAAATGTGAAACTATTGTTTCTTGGCATAGCTGTCTAGGTCCCAAGGACTTTACTCCATTCATTATCACGGTCAAGTCTACTTTGAGGAGGCAGCTCTTCCCCAGTCCTATTTTGAGTGCCTTCCAACCTGAGGGGCTCATCTTCCGGCATAGGATATTATCCTATTACAGACAATGTTGTAATTCAAGATAGATCTTGAAATGTTCTTTTTGACTATAAATGTAATGCCATTCCTCTTGAATTTGTTGTTCTCGACATAGTAAACTATATAATTTTCCCAATTCAAAATGGCTAATACCAGTCCATATAAGCTCACAAATGCCTAGGATATTGAAATTTATAGGTTCCATTTCATTTTTGACAACTTTCAATTTTCCTAGATTTATACTTTGTACATTTTGAACAACAAATTGAAAAGGAATGGTGTCATATTCATTGTCAAAAAGAACATTTCACGATCTATCTTGAAGTACAATGCTATGTATATAGTATAAGTCTATGATAGGACAATATCCATACACTTACAAGGAAGACCAGTTAATACCACTATTATTCAAATTTACACAACAACCACTAAAGCCAGTGGTGGTTAAATTGATCAGTCTGAAGTTGATCAAACATACAATCAAGATGCATTAATAATTACTGGTGATGGGAATGTGAAAGCTGGAAACAAAGAGGATGGAAGAGTAATTCGAAAATATGGCCTTGGAGATAGAAATGATGCTGTAGAACACATGACAGAATTT